AGAAGAACACGACGTTTCGTGCGCTACTGCGACACTTCGTCAGGTGATGCGGCCAGCCGGCCGGGCACGGCGCAAGAAACATCATGCGTCAGACCGCCAATCACAGCAGCGCCTGTCCAGCAGTTGTACCGCTCAATCCAACCGGGGGATATATATAACCTCACGCGCAACGTCGCCGCATCACCTGACGAAGTGTCGCAGTAGCGCACGAAACGTCGTGTTCTTCTATTATCTTTTGGACCACCCATTGCGAGACAAACGGGATATAGTAAGCGAGTTTCATTTCCGCAATGGATAATATTTTTAACCTTATACATATATCGCCGGCATCCAGTAGGCAGCTGTTTGAGTGGGGGTGGTGATTTCTCTTGCACGTACAGCATACTCTACATAAAATAGCACTGAGGCAACATGTGAACAGAATTCACCAAACCCGGCTTTACAATAATACAGTGTGCTAACATGATGCCTGTCTCATATTCTATCATTGTGACCCATGCACGGATAGAGAGATGGTATAATCTGAGACTGGTAGTGCATAACACGTGCTCGGATAACGTAGATGGGACTCTCACTGTTCACATGATAGGTGTAGACTGATACACCCAATTGCAGAACAGTCGATTGTGGGCATCCAGGCTTTTGTGGTTCTGAGAGTCCTTGAGAGTATAAAATGATCTCGGCTAGAATGTTAGGTAATCAATTCACGAGATTGTTTTGGGTTGATTGTTATCGGGGCACATTACACGCGACACGTGTTCGCTCTTTTTGTAACTGGTATGGCCGGCGGCACGGGATTGTAGGTAATATTGCTATTTTTAGACCAAGTCGAAGAACCTTCTATACTGTATAGCTCATAGGGTCTTAGCTCTAGTACTATATAGCCTGCTTACATTAACTGCCGCTGGGCTATAGAACGAGCAATTAAGGATGCGCTGGACCAACTTAAGCACGCTTATACCCGCCTATAAAACATCTGTGAGAGGCAATTAATGCCTTTTATTCGAAGTGAATATCATCAATATATCTTAAGTTGTATCAGCTACTAAAATTTAACCTCTAACTATCGTTGCAATGGTATACTTGCAGTATTTCTTGTGAACGAACATTCGATTTGCGAACTTCAAACGGTCATTTCTGGCGGCGCTGCAGCAGCGCCAGTCAGCGGGAACTATGTATTTCCGCACGTGGAGGGGTGGGCGGGATGGGTTGGTTGTAGACAAAAACATTGTTGTTGTCAAGTAACAAATTAAGCGATCAAAGAAGATTGTAATATTAGTTTTGACATGAAAGATGAACAAATTACTATTATTAATTTGTTACTTGACAACAACAATGTTTTTGTCCACAACCAACACAACCCGCCCACCCCTCTACGTGCAGAAATACATAGTTCCCGCTGACTGGCTGGAGTAAGTTGGTCCCGAGCATTCGTAATGGCTGGTTCCTTAGCCCAGCGGCAACTGTACGCGGGCTATAGTACTAGAGCTAATAGGGTCTATGTCCCCCAGGGTACTGCCGGAACATACGCTGGTCATTATTTGATATGGTTAGGGTTCGAGTTAGGGTTAGGGAGTAGGCGTAGGCGACTCCCTAGACTCGTTAGTGGAGTAGGCGAGGTACGGTCCGGCATATTAGATAGTACCCTGGGGGACATAGACCCTCTCAGCCAATGTACAGGGGTAGAAATTAACTTTTGAACAAGTGAGTTTAACGGACTCCTTACCCTCAAAAATAGGGAGCCCGCAGTCTGAAGTTCAAAATTAAAGATATTAACAATAACGCACATGTGCTTATTTTTAAGATTCATGCAGTTGCACGTCTGCCGAATTTTCTTTGGACCTTAGCTGGAAAATTACAGTAATTCTGCGAGGCCATGCTCTGGAACGAACTAGTTAGTATGGCAGAATTTTCAGGGAGTCCGACAGTAAATCGGGGAGTATTTGACTCTGGACTCCCGTTAATTTTGCACCCTGCTGTAGATACAATAATGTGACCCAACAAGAGTAGGGTTACATACAACGCGAGCCTATATTCTTTTCTTTGGAGGAGCCCCTGAGGGATTCACTCGGGGCGGTTTTATGGTGCAATTTTCGAGACTACAACTTCCAAACTTGGTTTATTCTAAATACGAACCTTTCTCCGCTATCCTGGGACTTACTATGTATTACAATACTCTGTATTAAACTAATATACCCTGTTACAAAATTTCGAAGCGACGAGCGGCGATATTTTGACCTGTGACGTATGCATTCCCAATGCGCATAACGTTCAGCTAACTTCTGCAACTCCAGCATGTCAGGCAACACAGTAAACTGCATGCAGCGCCCCCTTCGTACAACTCAGGATAAGCCACGTGAATTGAATTGAGCCAGAGCGAGAGCGCCATCTGTCGGGGAGTTTGGCAACACAGGACCCGAAGTTAGCCGAATGCTGTGCGCATTGGGAATGCGTACATCACAGGTCAACAGAAATGGCGCTCGAAATATCGCCGCTCGTCGCTTCGAAATTTTGTAACAGGTAATATTAGTTTAATACAGAGTATTGTGATACATAGTAAGTCCCAGGATAGCGGAGAAAGGTTCGTGTTTAGAATAAACCCAGTTTGGAAGTTCTAGTCTCGAAAAACGCACCATAAAACCGCCCTGAGTGAATCACTGTAACCCTGCTCTTGTTGGGTTACATTATTATATCTAAATACACTGCAGCACCAAAATGGCATATAATGCACCGGAGCCGAAACATGCGTCTAAACAGAGGAATTGCTCCGACCTGTGATTGGAGGATAAAAATAGCCCCCGCCCACTCCCGCCGCATACGCTATTATGCTATGACCGGTAGAAATGTGTACTAACTATCATATATATAGAGCGAACGATTTGAGTTACATTTCTATAAATTCTAGCTATTATAGATATGTCTTAGCCTTAATCTCTGTGAATTTTGAGTCTATTGACGCGCAATTAGTCTCATTAATTAGCAAATATGCATATGTGATATCGCTCATAGGCTAATAATATACGCGCGGCTATACGGCCGGTAGGAACGTGTACTAACTATCATATGGCGCGAACGATTTGAGTTACATTTCTATAAGTTCTAGCTGTTATAGACACATGTATGTCTTAGCATTAATCTCTGGGAATTTTTGAGTCTATTGAAGCATGATTAGTCTAATTAATTAGCAAATATGCACGCGCGGTATCGGCCGTAGGCTAATACACGCGCGGCTATGACCGGTGAAACGAAACGTCACGAATTCTATTTTTATCCTCCAATCACAGGTCGGATCAATTTCTCTGTTTAAACGCATGTGAGCCGGAGGCGGAGGTTTCCGGGGGGGTTACCTTAGCCGATTGACACTGGATCATTAGTTGCGTCCTCATTGGCTCTTCTATGTCCCCATTATACGAGCAGGGCCTGCCATTTTGCGTGGTCATCTGGGCCACGAAGGATTAACAGTTGCCACTGCTGAGAGCCAGGGGGCCGTTGTCAGAAACAGGCTTTCATTTTTAAGGGGCGCGATCGCGCTCGCGCTTCACCGCACACCTGAAATTGTGCCATGGTGCGTGCATCATCGCGCCTCATAAAAGTGGTTGAGATCGCGCACCAAAAGCCTGTGTATTATGTTGAAATAGCACTCCATAGAGTTGTCAATGTAGGTGGGTACTTAAAAAGGTTAGCGACACACAACAATTTGTGGTGTGTAAGTAACTGAA